CCGCGCCGCGCCGCGCCGCACCGCACCGCACCGCACCGCACCGCACCGCACCGCACCGCACCGCACCGCACCGCACCGCACTGCGCAACGCGCGCACACACACACACACACCCACACGCACGCACGCACGCACGCAGGCTTGCACGCACGCACGCAGGCTTGCACGCACGCACGCACGCAGGCACGCACGCACGCCCGTGCGCGCGCACGCGCGCTTGCGAGCTCGCGCACGCACGCTCGCACCGTGCGCGCGCGGGCACGCGCGCGAAGCACGCCTGCACGCCCGGACGCCGCACGCACGCGCTCACACGCGCACGCGCACGAGCGCGCGCGCACGCGCCCTCGCACGCACGCGCACGCGCACGCGCACGCGCACACGCACACGCATGCACGCACACGCATGCATAGATAGATGGATGGATAGATAGATAGCTAGATAGATAGTTAGACATTTCCAAAGAATCCACCAAGTAGCCAAAGATATAGCGATAGAGGAGACTGTTGTTCCTTCAATCAGAGTGGACTCCCAAACACTTGAGCTCAGATGGCAGGCTATTCTGTCTCATAATGCTGATAGATACATATATAGATAGATCCATGCATGCATACATACATACATGCATACATCCATACATGCATACATGCTTCTCATACATATATACATGCATGCATACATACGTACATACATACATACATACGTACATACTTGCGTATATACGTACATAAATACATGCATTCATACAGACATAAAGTACAAACAGACGCACATACGCACATAGCTGCAGACATTCATACATGAATGCATACATGCATACATGCATACATGCATGCATGCATGCGTACATGATTCAACGGGACTGGGTTTCTGGGAGTTGAAAGGGCAATTGACTGCTCTTTCTCTTGTTGACTGATCGTGCGTAGATGCATACATACTGCTTCCCATGAAGATGTCGAACAACAGGGGGTGGAGCCCATTTGAGGTTTGTTAAGACTCGTAGCACGGAGATGCCCCAAACACACAAGCTGGTGAAGCACACAAGACGTGATCTGTTTACGAACATCATGCTAGCTGAAAGCCACAGAATGCGCATAATTACGTTGCTATATTCTTCGGATATCCCTGCCTTCTTCTGAATGTTGAATAATATTGCTTCCGTTTTCTGAATCCAACAATTATGATGCTGGTTCCACTGCATTCTTGTTGACTTTAGACTTTTTGCCAGAGAAATCCAAGGTGGGAATGAGCCTTTGATAGGACTCGTGGGCAATGTGGCCAAAGAACAAAAACAGAAGCTGTTTGCTTACGGAGCTCTTGCCAAAACAACAGGCGAGATATTGCTCGTTTTCAGGAGTCATCGACACCAACAAGACACTAAGATTGGGAACCCCAGGGATTCCGTCTAAGTATGCCATAGTCTATTCCCTCGTGGCGGATATTCGCACCATTGGCTCTTTGTTGATGGGATTGGAGCTGTGGGGTTCACGATTTTCATGCTCCTGTGTTTGGCATCACCATGTACGTTTGGGTTCCATTAGGTGACACTTTCAAAACAATTAAAGGTTGAAAGAATGGCCATCCCCCTACAGTACTTTTGCGACCCCCCGCAGCCCGCTCATCTTGTCAAACGTAGTCGAACCCATCAAATGCCCAGTATATTGTTGGTCACCTTTCAGCATTTTTCTGCTTATCCTTGCGTTTGTATTCAACTCCTGACTCCTGGTGATGAGAACATGAGCTTACTACTTCTATTGGTATGAATTTTAGTTGGGGGCCCTTTGGTGGACGCCATTTACATGGGGATGTATGTTAACCAATGAGGATGTTGACCATCCAGACATGCACTTCTAGTGCTTTTCACTCGGGGCTGAGCGCTTGCGACCGAAGCCATCCATGTTTCTCCGCGCATCTTTCAGGCTCTCAAAAGAGTCAGGCGGTGTTGATGGGACTCCACATTTCTTTCTCATTCCGCTCAGCATCTCCGATCCCAGCGAATATGTTGATCCACCCGTTCCCCCTTTGCAACCGAGGCCCGAGAAACAAGTGAACAAAAACTCAGCGCGGCCTCTCGCAAGCCAAAGACCATGGCATGTGTCCGCCTGTCCAGTGGCCGGGAGGTGATCACGGAGGAGGAGTTTGCACAGTGGTGGGAACGGACAGAGGACAGGGTTGCTCCGAGCCGATGACCAGAAGTCAAAGGTAGACCGTTGGTCTTGGGTGGTTTTTGGGGTTCCTTTTTTGGTCCTCCAAGGCCTCAACCCATGGGGTCGTGGCGACAGGAGCTTCGGCAAGGCGGCGCTTGCTTTGTGGATGTCTTGAGGCAGGAACTGGCCAAGCGGCTGGAGCTGGGTCATTTCCGTCGCCTGAGCCTGGCGTGTGGGCCCCGCGTGCTTGGGCCGGACAGCGCCTGGAATGCGGACGCCCTGGTGGCCGTGGTGCGGCCATTTGTGGCGGACGAGGCAGGTGAACTCTTTGAGGTCGCGCAGGGTGGCAACTTGGAAGCTTTGTCAGCAGCGGGTCAACCTTTTTGACCTTTCGGTTTCCCCATCTTGGCCTTTGTTGGCCCATGTTGGCCCATGTTGGAAATTCTTGCCTCTTTTGGTTTGTGGTTGTCCCATTTTGGCACCCACTTCCAGGTTGACCTTTGATTTCAGGTGCTTGGGCAAGTGAGGAAGCGCTGGTCGACCTATTGGAGAGGCCGCATGATCCAAACGCCTCCGACAGTCGTACGGGCGAAACGCTGCTGCTGGCTGCCGCGCGACAAGGCTATGGATCCGTCGTAAGCTGTTTGCTTGATGCCGGTGCGGACAAGGACTCCCCGCCAAGATAAGACTTGGAATCCTTTGAACTTGTGATACCAGAGAACTGTCACTTCCCATTCAAGAACAGAACTCGTCATTGGGAAAGCCATGTCCCTCGTGTTATCTATGTTCAAAGACGATTTCCGGGGATATCCTCAGGTATCGAGCCACATAACCTAACATCACAATGTGCCGCATCCCATCCCAGCAATACTCTTCGACATGTCCAGAACCTTGTCATTGGTCGCATTCAACTTGTTCTTTTACTGCCCATCTGTTTTGACCAGCACCGTGGATTCGGCTGTGGACGATGGTTTCGAGTTTCCAGAGGACAAGACCAACGTTGACGGCGACACGCCTCTGCACCACGCGGCTGAGAATGGCCACCTGGAGGTGGTGCGGTGCCTGCTGGCAGCGGGAGCAGAGAAGGACAAGGACAGCGGGTGGTATTTTCCTTTTCTTTGGTTACCAAGTTTGGTTTAGTTTGGAAAAACAATGGAACATGGTTCTCAATTTTGGTCTGGTCTCCTTTTCGGTAGTGTTTCACAGCATGAAAGAAGCCAGGACAACAACGACGGGCTCACACCATTGCATCATGCTGCTCTGCTAGGCCATGCGGGGGTTGCACGTTGCTTGCTGGAAGCTGGTGCCGACAAGGACAGGGGCAACTTTGATGGTGGCACCCCCATGCACGACGCCGCAGAGAATGGGCACGTGCAAGTGGTGCGCAGCTTGCTGGACGCGAGTGCAAACCAGGACAACGGCAACTGCGAGGGTGTGACACCTTTACACCTGGCAGCCAGGTGTCACTGCCAGACTTGACGAACCTTTTCGATTTTTTGCCTTTGGTGTTCCCTCGTGTTCGCTGGTGCAACCAGCGAAAGCTGCACTGTTTATCTCTGCAGGTGCTGCGGGGAATTGCGAGATTGACGGCGGGGGTGCTCGGGGGCATGCAAGTTGAAAATTCTTGTGCAGGTGCCGTTTTGGGAAGCTTTTTGGGGGTGTTGGTTGAGGTGCTCCTCGAGCAGTGCTGTTAGAGGCGCTGGCGTGCAATCGTTGGGCGCGTTTCGCTATCTGGGTCTATGCAGGTATTTTTTTGGGGGGAGGGAAGGACTTGTTTGGCAGCCAGGTACGGGCATGTTGAAGTTGTTCATTGCTTGCTGGAAGCCGGCGCCGACAAGAATACGGGCAACATGGCTGGCAATATGCCCTTGCACCATGCTGCTTTGCTGGGCCATGTGGAAGTTGCTAGGTGCTTGTTGGAGGCCGGTGCTGACAAGGACCTGTTGCAAAATCTATTTCAACAGACACTAGGTCCCCGAGAGGAAACAAAAAGAGGTCACCCAACTAAAAGGTGTTCAATCCGTTTTTTTGACGGTTGAATCGCCCAACCCCTGACGAGGACAAAGCCAACCGTGCTGGCGTGACGCCTTTGCAGCAAGCAGCCCAGCACGACTATTTGGCATTCGTGCGTTGCTTGGTGGAAGCTGGTGCTGACAAGAACAAAGGTGACCATCTGGGAATGACGCCTTTGCATGTTGCGGCCAAGAATGGCTGCTTGGAAGTCGTGCGCTTCTTGTTGGCAGCGGGGGCTGACAAGGACCAGCGCAACAATTCTGGCCTTACGCCGATGCAGCTTGCTGCTCGCTATGGCAACCCAGTTGCCTTTTGGCACCTGTTGTTCCTTTCTTTCCCTCACAAATCTAGAAATAAAAAAGGATGTCCTTTTCCCCGGTGAGGACATCAGCCGGTCAAAAAAGAGGATGTTCTTGTTTCCCCGCGCAAAATCAACCAGTTCAACAAATGTGAAACTCACCGAGTGAAAGGGAAGGTGTCCTTTTTTCTCTCATGGGAACCCTTTTGCCGAGGCAATGTGGATGTCGCACGCTGCCTCCTGAACGTTCCCAGTGTCCGCTCGGAGCCCGAATGGATGTGCAAGCGCAGGCGGAACTGAGATTTGGCTGGCCGCGAGTGGCAAAAGAAATCACAGCAATGGTCCGTTCAACACCTCCGAATGCAGCTGGGTCTCTTAAAGCGTACACTTTGAGGAGTTCTCGAATGATTTTTCCATGTGTTTGTGAGTCTCCATTTTGCTCAGAGAGTAATATCGAGGATGTCACTGTAAGTGTATGGGGTTTATGGATGGTCCCACTATGCGTTTCTGCAAGGCGGAATCCGTTTGGGGGGGAGCCGTTTCGGGGGTCATGCCAGGTTTTGATTCTGACAAGCAGCATGATTCTAGGCATCCCCAGCCCAGTAATGTCTGGGGGATACCGGGATACCCTTCCAACCGTACATGAACCCCCAAAATGCGAGTAATGTACAACTAAGCACATGTCTCTAGATTGGTGGGGGGGGCTTGTTGATTTCCAGTTGGGGGTGGGGATAAGTAAAAACAGCAGGCCTGCCCAACATCATTCGCTTCTGTTCTCTGAGGCAATCGTTATTGAGGAAGAGCCTTCCTCCTGTCAAGCTCATAAAGCATGGAGTGTTTGCATGAGCCCGCATGAACACACACTTCCGCGATTGAATGGGAACCCGTCCACAAGACCCTGGTTCGCCTGAGCAGGTTTTGCTCAGGCGGTGGCTTTTGACGCTCCCTCTTCTGAAATTGGCCTTCCACCGTGGGAGTGGCATCACAGGCCGACCTGGGCTTGAACTTCTCACATGCGAGCTTCTGAGTTGAGCCCGGGGCTGAAAAAGGGGAAGAGAGAGAAACGGCCTCCGTCTTGTGTAGAAGCCCTTCTTTGACTTCCCTTACCGACTCACAGAGGGGTCAGCGCATGTCAGCCTGGTCGTGCGACTGGCTGCTGATTTTTTAGAGTTTCCCGCAAAATGGTGCACATAGCTTACCCACCCAACATGGAAGCTGCCGATTGGATCGGTTCCCTTTTGGGGGGTAGTTGGGTGAAAGTACATCCCAGAGATTCCATTTCCCTGTACGCAACCAAGGAAACCTCCTGTAAAAAATGTTCATCAGAGATTCCAATGAAAGGCTGGGATTTTGGGAGCGCGGGCAATTGGTTGGGAAATCCTCTGTTCACAGCTGCTTTGGATGATTTTCTTGGAAGGCATGTGGGGTGCATGTTGAAACAAGGCTTTCCTTGAAGCTTACTTTTCTAGGGTGGGCTTTGTTTTTGACTGCAGCGTTTCAGTGCTTGGCCCGGATTCCTCTTGGCCCCAACAGGAGGCACCCGCTCTCCGCCAGGACGCACTCCTTTCTGCGCGGGTTTGCCGCATCGAGGACATCGCCACAGATTTGATTCCCCGTGGGTGTGGTTTTTGAGGCTCGGTAGCCTGTTCACATGAAAACCACCAATCTTGGGGGTCCCCCCATTTTGAATGCGCAAATTTGAGAATGGAGATCCACCAACCTTGAGTGAGTGCCCACCATGGTTTGGATATGCCGAGAATGGCACCGGCGACAGAACCCCCTGTCATTTCCCGCAATCAATATTCAGCATGCGCACTAATAAATGAAATGGACTGGGGCACACGTACCAAATTACCATCAGAAGCTTCGCCACTGCGTCACCATCCTCGCACTAACAGATTTCCTTTGGAGATGCTTGCTGCTGGGTCGCTTGCTGGGCCCAATGTCGCTTTTGTTGCGGCCACTGCCACAGCCATGCTTGAAAACTGGGCTGACCTCTGCTCCAATTCGCGGCTGGCCGCCTTTGCAGGAATTGTTGGCAAAATTGCATGGCGCGCTGCGAAGTGCCCACTTGCCCAGTGGCACCTGTTTTACTTTTCCTCTTCTTTAGGTCGAATTGCCTTTAAACTCAGCCGACCCTTGTTGGGTGTCCTCTTTCCCCGGGCAATTTCAAAAACTTTGTGCGTGGCTCAAAGTTAACGAGCTAGGGCTACATTAGGTACATTTGTTTCAGCCACAGCCATGTCTGTCCACTGACATCTAGTGAGGGTTCCTTGAGGGACACCCACCTTACGGTTAAGGGGACTCGCCCGACTCGCTGGGGGGCAACCCCGTGCAGTGACCCCTGAGCTTGATGCGGGTTCCCTGTATTTGGGTGAATCCCCTAGCAATGAGGGTTTGCCTTTTGGTTTCCTCCCTCGTTTTTTTTGCCCTGGACAATATCCAGCTACAAGAAGCCAATTGGAGAACCTCCCTTTTGGGAATTCCCTTTCCCCCCCCCCCCCCCCGGCCTGCTAGCAGGTGGTGAGGGTGGACAGTGGCTTATGGGGATATATATATGACCGTCACAATTACTTCTGTTGAGTTTAGTATTCGGTGTTTCATTGATATTGTGAAAATGCACAAAACCATGGCAAACGATAGGGGACTCTACAAAAAACGATACCCCTGGAAAAGGATGGAAACGCTGGAAAAGGATAGGGGACTCTCAAACTAAGTAAGTAAGTAGATTCGACCGCGCCTCATATGCGAATGAGAAGAAACATGTTTTTTCATCAGCTGGAGTGCCGTTCTGAGCGGTTGAAGATTGCAAACCCCTGGGCAAGTGGTAACTTGCTTTTTGGTGGCAATTCAGCCATCTCGCAGGGGTATCTTGTAGGCGTTTTATGCTTTGTTTTTTTGGGTCGAACGGACCACTCCAAACATCCTTTGAGTACTCCTTCTTGGCGTTTTTTGCTCCGTTAACGTGGACTCTACACTCCAGATCAACATGGAACCAAACAAAGCTTGACTATTGGAGGACTATCCTTGTATGAGGCTTTTTTTTTGGTTCCATGCTCTTCTGCAGGGGTAAGGTTGATCCCCCCCCTGCAAGCCCCTGGCCCGCTTTTTAAGGGATTCGGCTGGCGACATGTGCCATCAAAAAAAGGTGCTCCTTTGAATCATAAGATCCCCTCCTCTCCCCTTTGTTTTCTGTATTCATTGAAGACGTAGTTGGGGGAAGCAGATAGGGAGATGGTTGGATCCCATGATGTTTCCAAAGCGCATGTACATCCAAACAAAGACGGACCCATATTTGTGAACCTGCGACGGACCCATATTTGTGAACTTGCCACCTTTCATGCTCCTCTTGTAGTTGGAATGACAAGGCTATGTACTGCTTTCCTCTTGGGTTCACAGCAAATTCCCCCCTGTTTCCCGAAGTCGCTTCGCGGTGGCTTTCTTGAAAAACTGCGAATTTCTTGCTAGGACTTTGGGATCTTCGCAGAGGTGCTGCCGCCCAGCACGGAAGATGACACCAGGGCGGTCCAGGGCTTCGTCCACGTGTCGGAGCTGAAGGACAGGTGGAGAAGTCCAAGGTCCCCCAAATTCCAAGTTTTTGAGTCTTACCCTCCATCTCAACCATCCCCTCAGTCCCAAATCGGCGCCATCGGACTGACGGGAAGTTGAGCACCGACACTAGGCACTGGCTCCCACTCTGAATCAATCCTGGGATTGTCGGCAAGAGGGCGCCGCCGATTTTGTTAAGACCGCAAGTTGAACAAATGTAAATCCAACATAGAACTCACCAGAGGGTCCCAGGAAAATCGTCCAGGGCCCTCCCCAGGTGCCCCCCCAATTGGGCGAAGGCTTTGGTGCAGGGCCGGTGATCCTGTCGATGCCTTGCGAGGAGGGCTTTGTGGTGCACCCGGACGACGAGGCGAAACGCCTTTCTGGCCGAAGGGCAGACGGGTTTCTGGTTCGGTCTTTCTTTGGGTTTGGCCAACGTTTTGACATTTGGGCAAGTAGTCAATTTATTTGGCCTTTGAGGTTTGCTCAAAATTGCTCGCCATGTCTTCGCATGTCGGAAGTCAAACCTTTCTTCGAGGCACCCTAGATTAAGATTAACCCAGGGTGAAATAGGTTCCAGATTGCGTAAATACTGGAGGGCGCCACGTTTAAAGGAATCCATTGCTTCCGAGAGAACTGGCTACAGTTCGGTGAAAGTATATGACACAACTTTCTTCGTTTTGGCAAGTCATCCCCTGTACTTGCCCACAGAGTGAGGGAATTGCGCCATCTATCAGGGGACCCAGTCACGGGATCTTCTAAGAACGTGTTCCGATCTCTTGCAAAGGACCATCATGTGCATCCGAAAGGAACCCATTTGTTAGATCCCATTTACTCAACGTGTCACCCAACTTGTGACTCCTTCGTCACTTGGATTGGCAGGTGGAGCTGGGCCAAGAGATCGTGGTGAGGCTGCTGCGGGTGGACCAGAAGTTTGGGCGCCTCAGGCCGTCCGTGCACGCGCGTGCTTGCGCGCGTGCATGCGCGCGCGTGCGTGTGTGCGTGCGTGCGCGCGTGCGTGCGTGCGTGCGGGAGGGCGGGCGGGCGGGCGTGCATGCGTGCGGGCGTGCGTGGGTGGGTGGGTGGGTGGGTGGGTTGGTGGGTGGGTGGGTGGGTGGGTGGTGTGTGTGTGTGTGTGTGTGGGGAATGGTGGACACTTGGTGTCGATGTTGCGACCTGTATGTTCTCTTGGGGCGGGGCCTTTGGACGCTTTTGAAGTCCAGGGTTGCTCCGAGCAGTGTCTACAGTCGATGGGGGCAAGTGCAGAATTTAATTGGTTGGAGTAATTTAATTTTGATTGATTCAGGTGCAAAAGGTCAGCGGGTAAATTAGGTCAGCTGCTTCCCTGCTGCAATGCCAGGGAACGTCCACTCATAGAGGCTTCGTCATTTGGAAGGCTTGCATTGGCATCACAGGCAATTCCCAGAACCCTGTTCCCAAAAGGCCACATTGCGGCGTATCCTTTGGCCCCCCTGTTTGGAGGGGTTTCATGTGAGCGGCCCTATCAGCCTTGATAGGCAGGTTCTACGAGCCGCTCGTACAAGAGCAAAAGCGGGTTCGGCTTCCTTCTGTTTGCCAAGGGGCCAAATGTCTGCCCTTGTGGGGTCTGTTGGAGCCAAGTTGGCGGATGCCGACCTTAGACTCGGTTGAACAGGAAAGCGCCCCTTCCAGAAGTGAGATCCCCTGTTTCTTTTTCTGTTTTTCCGGTGGGGGAGGGGACTTTAAGATTCTACTTGCAGGACCACGAGTCG